TTCCAAAAATTCGAATACCACATACGTACGTTGTATTTGAATACAACGTACGTACATTCTATTCGGGAAAAAACAAGCGATTTATGAAAACCCGATTTCCAAAGGTAATTCGAATAGAACGTACATACGTTTTTTTTTAGTTAAAAAGGTAGGGAAGGTCGTACGCAAAAAAAAAAAAAAAATCCAAAAACTTTGGAAAAACACTAGGTTATGCAAAAAGTAAACTGAACGACTTTTGACTCAGGGTCATATCAAAATTCTTTGCCAAATTCAAAATAAAAATTTAAATAAAAAATAATTTTTAATTTTTAATTTTTTTTTGGCCTGGCCGGGCAAGTGGACCCCTGCCACTCTGGTAACCTAGTATATATATAAAAGTTATATTCTTCTCTAGATTTCACCGCACACTACCTACCTACCGCTGCTCCTAATTGTAGGCATGCGGGAAACCCCGTAGCAGCCAAAACCGTGTTCACGAGAGCACATGTGGGGACTGCTCCTGACCTGCAGGTGGGCAATACCCGGGGACAGCCGGTAGCATCAGGGACCATGCCAACGTGACCAATCCCTGTGCCTCCCCTCAGGTTCCCTCCCCTACGAACATCAGCAAACTCTGCTCAATGGCGATCAGGGGATCTAGTGGTCTATCTCTAGGTGGCGGGCTCCAAGGAAGGTACATGAGGCCAATGGGGATTGAACCCACAACCTCCTGAATGCTACTTGTGAGCCTCACCAACTGAGTTAGGCCGATATTGTCTTTTCTTTTTATAACTAAGCTATATTCGTCTCTCAATTTCACCTTCCACCATCTACCTACCACTGCTCCTAACCATATACAGGGGACCCTTGCAACAGTACCTTTTTTTTTCTCTTTTGTGCATGTGGAGAGTAATGGAGCGAGGCCCCTTTACTCCTTTCACCACAGTCCGCCCTCCCCTTTCTCCTCTCTCGCCTTCCCCTCTACCGTAGGTGCCCTCGTGCCGCTCTCTTGAGCATGCTGCTACTGGCGCCAGAGGGATTGGAACCCCTCCCTCTCTCTCCTTCCCCTACCTTACCGTGGTACACACGTGCCTTCGTACCGCTCTCCTGAGCGTGCTGCGCCTGGCGGGAGAGGGATTTGAAACCCTCCCTCCCTCTCTCTCCTTCCCCTACCCTACCGTAATATACACGTGCCCTCGTGCCGCCGCTCTCTTGAGCGTGCTGCAAGTGGCGGCAGAGGGATTCGATCCCCCGACAGGCGAGAGGCTCAGAGACTCAGGCGGCGACCGACAGGCGAGAGGCTCAGAGAATCAGGCGGCGACCGACCGACAGGCGAGAGGCTCTCAGAGACTCAGGCGGCGACCGACAGGCGAGAGGCTCACAGACTCAGGGTCGGCGACCGACCGACCGACATTGTGACGCGACAGGAAGGTTTCAGCTATGGCGGACGGAACGAGTGAGGCGCGGCCGACGGGGGATGCTGCTGCCGCATCCAGGGATCAGCAGCAACAGAGCAGAGCGTTGGATTCCATAACAGATCACGTGGAGGAGCGCCAGCTGGACTCTGCCAGGGTGCAACAGGCGATGGCCTCCATCACCGCTGCAAGCGAAGCGGATCGTCGAGCACAGCTGGCAAGAGAACGTGAGCTTGCAGCTGTCAGAATCAATGGCGCCGATGTGGACATCATCGTTTCCGAGCTGGAATTGGAGAAGAAGGTGGCTGAAAGCATGCTGAGGGAGCATAAAGGAGATGTAGTGGCAGCCCTTCGATCGTTCTTATGATCGCATGAACGGCTGCTGATCGACTCTTTGCCAAATACAGTATCATTCTCTAAGCCTCTTTTTTTTTACCACCCCCCTGACTGGTTACCTGTAGGAAAAACCCTTATTGTTTTGAGAAACATATATACATATTAAAGAAAATAAGAATCAACATTTTGGAATTGATGTCAGTCAGCGAAACGCCTCTCCGCTTCTGGCGACGGCCGCCATATCCTCACTCGTCCTCTCTCCTTTGCCTCCTTTGCCTCATTCTCTCTTCCTAATCCTCCTTGCCTTGTGGTATGCACTTGTGCCCTCCTCCTTTGCCTCCTCTGCCTCCTCTTCATTCTCTCTTCCGAAGCCTCCCTCCTTGTGATACCCTTGTTATCCTTTCCCACCATCTCTTCATCGTTAACCCCGGAGAAGAAAAGAGAACCCATGTTAAGGCTCCTTCGATCTAGGGCTATGGCCTACTTCTCCATCCGTTCTCTCTTACGAAGCCTCCTCTTCGTTCTCTCTTCCTAAGCGGCCTATATCACGCACAGAGAAAGAGTAATAGACACCGAACAGCGGAAAAAAGAGAGACCAAATCGGGGGGGGGAGGGGGGAGGTGGAGAGGAGTAGAAAGCTACCTTTCTCTCCTTTCTGACCTTCTCTTCACCAAAAAAAAGATCCTTAAAACAGAAAGAGAGAATTGATGACATTCTGAGGTCCCATTGGTAATAGGGATATGATCCCCTTCCCCATCCGTCCTCCTTTCTGCCTCCCTTTTCATTCCCCCTCTTCCTAAAGAGCCTGCTTGTGCTACCCTCTCTCTCTCCTTTTTCACGTTCTCTTCATGACCTAATTTCCCCATCATCTCGACCCCCCCTTGTCTCATCTCGACCTCCCTTGTCGCATCTCGACCCCCCCTTGTCGCATCTCGACCCCCCCCTTGTCGCATCTCGACCCGCACTTGTCGCATTTATCCAGGGTCTTTTATTTCTTTCCAGTGTTGCTTTTGTTCCAGGTCCCTGTCGCGCTCCGCCTACTCCACCTGCTTCTCCCTCTCTGGTGACTCTTCTGTTTGCTTTCTCCTTCCCTTCCCCCTTCCCCCCCCCCCCCCCCCCCCATGGTTTGGTGTCTGTTACGTTTTCTCTGCGCGTGTGTGCGTATGTTTGTGTGTGCTTGTTCCCCACCCCCCCCCTTCCCCTCTTTCTTTGTCTGTCTGTGTCTCTCTGTCTATCCGTGCGTGTGTTTGTGTGTGTGTGCTTGTCCGCTCTCTCTCTCCCCCCTCTTGCGTGTGTTTTTGTGTGTGCTTGTCCTCTCTCTCTCCCTCTCTCTCTCCGTGCGTGTGCTTGTGTGTGTGTGCTTGTCCACTCTCTCTCTCTCTCTCTCTCTGTGCCTGAGTGTGTGCTTGTCCCTGTGGGATGAGGAAGGTGTGTGGTTCGTCTGGAATGTTTTTGAGCTTCGGATCTACACATTCTGTCACGCTCTTACTACTTGAAAGCTCGATTGCTCATTCAGCGTTTCTTATGACGTCCTGGCTCTTGAGATCCACGTTACTGAATTTCTTACAGCTCATGGAAGATCTGACTAGATGCTGTTTTTTCACTTTTGGGTGCAATTTGATTGGTCAGTGTGAGGGCATACTCACACTAGGACTTTTCGAAAATGAATCTGAGCGTAATGACGGCAAGACGCGGGTGAATCTGACCGCAATCACGTCCAGAGCTTAGTACAAAAAGTCGCAGTGTGAGTATATGCCCTGAGTCGAGGAGATTTTGGCACAGATTCTCTCTGATCTGTTGCTCTTAACTTTCTGACCATGTGCGGCGAGAGTTCTTTCATTCCTTGATTTTTTTTATTATTATTTTTTTTTTTTTTGTGAAAAAGTGACGGCCTTCAGATATCATCGTTGAATTTTAATTCCTTTATTTTATTTTATTGTATTTTATTTGGTGAAAGGGCGACGGATCCTTTAGATATCATCATTGAATTGATTGGACCCAGGCGATTCAGAATGATCTTCTTGTTTTCATCTGAATCTATCAGGATTCGAACTTGGGTCTGTATTTCGACCGTTCAGGGATGTACCAACTGAGCTAGGCCAGCTGTTTTTTTTTGTTTTTTTTTTTGCGCGCGTTGGCAATCCCTTGAATTCTGTGATTTGAAAAAAAACGAAAAGATTTTTTTTTAATTTTTTTTTTTGCCCGTTGGTAATCCCTTGAATTCTGTGATTTAAAAAATCCAAAAACAAAAGGTAAGCACTCAGGCGGGTGCACATCCAGACGTTCTGGTTTTGGGGGCATAAATTGATACTCACCCCTCTTCCCCCAAATAGAACGTACGGTCATGATGTTATCTGTATTCGCGGCAAATTTCCGTCTAGATACAGCAATTGTAACCGTTCGCTGTATTCGGGGGAAGACGGGTAGTAGTATCTACTTCTGTACTGTGTGCTGATTTGGATGCACACGTCGTCAGAGCACTGGTGCCGCGTGTTTACCCCATCCTCCCCCCCCCTCCCCCCCCCAAAAAAAAAAAAGTATATGAGTATATGAAAATTATCCTCTCTAACTCGGGGGAGAGAGTGAGCGAGGAGGAGGTGGAGGCTGACGTCGAGGAGGGAGTAATGGAGGTGGACGACGATTGCAAATCAAGATCTCGCTCTCCCTCCCTCTCTCTCTCTCTCTCCCTCTCTCTCTCTCTCTCTCCCTCTCTCCCTCTCTCCCTCTCTCTGTCGTTTTACTTTTTTTTCGCTTTTTCAGAAATTGTAAACGTGCGTGCACCAGCGGGCCTAGCTCAGTTGGGACACCGATGAACTGTTCAGTTGGGACACCGATGAACTGTTGAAGTACACAGACCTGAGTCCGAATCCAGATGGAAGTTGATGATGGACGCAAGATCTCCCTCTCCCTCTCTCCCTCTCTTCCTCTCTCTCTCTCTCTCCCTCTCTCCCTCTCTCTCCCTCTCTCTCCCTCTCTCTGTCGTTTTACTTTTTTTCGTTTTTTCAGAAATTGTAAACGTACGTGCACCAGCGGGCCTAGCTCAGTTGGGACACCGATGAACTGTTGAAGTACACAGACCTGAGTTCGAATCCAGATGGAAGTCGATGATAGGAATGAAATACTAATTCTGAATTACCCGACGCCAGTCAGCTCGACGATGATATCTCAAAGCTGCTGGCCTTGTTGAGACAGGAAGACAGAACAATAGTGAAAAAAAAAAAAAAAACAGTGGCCATAGACTGCTTCTCCTACAAGCATCGATAGACAGATATGCATATTACTACCGTAGTACTTCTCTCCGCATCATGTATAGTTCTCAGCTAGAACTCTGAAACTTCATCGTAATTTCCCCGACGCGTTTCTGCTAATCAGGCTGCTGCTACGCTCCTTGCACTCCTCATTAAGGGGGCCCTTCTCCCCAGACTGCTACGCCTTGTGGGACCACCACCCCCTTCCGACCAGCTTAGACAAGAGGGACAAGAGGGAGGGGGGGCGTTGCCCTTGCCCTCTTCTTCATATACAGTCAGTGTTAGTCACCTACCTACAGGCGTAGCCGCACACACACACACACACACACACAGACGCACACACACACACACACATACACACACACACACACACACACATACACGCACAGACACACACACACACATCAAAACACACACAGAGACATACACACACACACACACTGCCTCCGCTTGCTGCGTAAGTCAGGTACGTGTGTCGGCAGTGTGTTCCAAGAAATTTCGAATTTTTGAATTTTTTAAATTTCGCATTCCGACTCGTAACAAACGTTTTTTGCTATCATTGCGCGCCAATTACTCTTTGAACTTTTTTTGCTATCACTGGTAGATGCGCGGGTACTAGCCGGTAGCGGACAACCAAGGTATCAATTGCCAGCCATTTTTTATTTTTATTTTTTTTTCCCCATGGCGTGGATGTAGCCAGAAAATTATCACACAACATCAGACTACCCTTTCGTCATCGATTGTTATTAAGTGTCAAACTTTTTTTTCATACGAGAAATATAAATGAGAGCCTATTAGGGTATTACTGACAGATTCATTTACAAAGTGTGATTTATTTTAACAACTTAATTGATGAAGATTCTAGAGGTAGTGGTGTGAAATAAACTTCATTAATCAAGATTTCATAGGCAGTGATGTATACAATGCTTGGTCTACATTCCTATATGTTGGTCCAAAATTTAGTCATTGTTATATTTTATGTAAAAAAAACTAATTCACATGAGCATACGTTTGATCAAAATTAAGTAATAGAACGACCACACATAAATGTACCGATTTATGATCTTTATATCTTGGACCACCGATGTAACGATGTCCAAAATCAAACAACCTCATATAAAACTTGTTCGGTACATGTAAAAAAAAATGAGATAATGTTTTTGTGTTTATTTGCCAAGACTTTAGACACTATCTTGTAAAGAGTTATTGTTAGTGTAATTGGTATGCAACTCCTTACTTGATCCTTCAAGTCTTTTTTGTGAATATCGGTAATTGTGTTTGAAACTAAGTTTTTTTTCTTAAATATCATTGAAAATTTTTAAAATTTACGGTGTTAGATATATAAGTGACCACTTCGAAAACGTGTGGCGATAAACGATTTATACTCGGGGTCTTACACAGTGATAATTGTCTTATTCAAATTTGGGACTGATGCTCTGTCAGATAAATATAAAGGTGAGATTATATTTTAATTTTATAAGTGTAAACAAATTGGGCAATTGATAAACATAATTGTCACAACCTCGTGTAAAAAAATCCTTATAAAACAGACATGCTAAATGGTAAATTAAATGGTTAAGGTAGGAACAACCTGAGAATCCAGGAGGTGATTCATGGTTATGTCCAAGACATAAATATTTCATCTAACTGCGGAAAAAATAAGGGTTGTCATTCAATCGTCATCCTTCATACACGCTCTTTTGCAAATGCCCTGGAATTTATTTGCAATTTAGAAGCAATTTGTTTGACACTTTGATATAAGAACTCGAGCAAATAAGAAATAGTTACAAATCAAGACCATGCATTTTCAATAACATGCTGATACAATTGTTGTAAATTTTGAAACCAACAATCATAGACTTTGCGAGCACCATGTACCACCTCAAGAGTTTATTATGATAAGAACTTTATCAAAGATGTTAAAAGCTTATGGATTGGCTTTGAGGGATAGAATTTCATTATTTTATGATTAAAAAGAAAAAATATCAGTATGATGTCAATAATTAGCTACCCATTATGAAACTCGTTGCAAATACATGTACCACCGCAAGAGTTTATTATGATAAGAACTTTATCAAAGATGTTAAAAGCTTATGGATTGGCTTTGAGGGATAAAATTTCATTATTTTATGATTAAAAAGAAAAAACAGCATTATGATGTCAATAATTAGCTACCCATTATGACATTCATTGCAAATACATGTATCTAACTTTTGTTTGCAGCCCCTGCTCGAATGCCTCGTATATAGAAAATTGTAAGAACAACGAAATTTAAAAATATGAATAAATTGTATCAGATTAAAAAACAACAACAACGTGTAATTCAAGAACACTCTGCACTTTAAGATTTTATAATCCTCAGTCAATATTTGTAGTATCCATGTAAAATCTAGGTCAATCGAATAAACACCTCTACAAATATCTTGCGTACAAAAATACTGCATAATCATACGAAGCCATACATGATGCCTATAACTTCCAACATCTACATAAATTTTTAGCCCAGGTAAAAAAACGGTGGGTACTTTACATGATCCCTCCAATAATAAAGGTTATCACAAGTGGCACTGTAAAGGGTGCGACCCAATGCCTTTGATAGGAGGTAGCAAAGTCGTATTATATATTGCTAATGTTTGAACATTCAGAACAAAAGTTAACC